TACGGGGGCAACACTGAGGGTTGTGATCCGTTGCCGGACATGGAAAAAGACAAAAAGACAAAAAAAAAAAAAAAAAAAGAAGAAGAAACAGCACAAACTGAGACGCGAAGGCATAAGAGGATTTGACAGGGAAGAGGATTTGACAGGGTTAGAGGTAATCGGAGTGGACATCGCAGCATTTATACTGTGCATGGTGCTGTGCTAAGCAGTCCACATGTACTGCATTATTTAATTTAGACACAACCCTCATGATGGGCAGGTATTGTTATCCTTATTTTACAGATATGGAGATTGAGGCTGAGCCACCTGCAGTAACTTGACCAAGGACATCTGGCTAATAACCAGACTTCCTCCCAGATCTGTCTGATCCCAAAACACAACGTCATAGTACACAGAAATTTCACTGGAGCTGGAAGGTAGGCTGAGGCCAGATCAGGAAAGCCTATGTCATGCAAAGAAGTTTCATCCTTACAGGCTTTGTAAACAGGGAAATAAACTGATTATATATATATATATAAACATATGGACATAGTATGGATATTTCTCGATCTGTATTTCCAGTCAGCATGGGACCTTGCTTGCTGGGGATGAATTCTAGTTGGTGCTATTCATGTTCTGCTACCTCTACAACCCCACTGCATTCTCCTCCCTTCTGCATAGCTGCCACCTGATTCACTGTCTATTATGGGTTCAATGACAAATTCTGTTGGTCTCATATTTCCCCCACTTACAAATAAAAAGAACACTGTCATATTTGTTGCCTTCTAGTTATGCTATAGACATGGACTATGGGTGGTGTGTTTTCTTTGTCTCTTTGGCTTATAGAAAGACGCATAGAGAGATTTGAGTGTAGACAGTCACCGTTATCCTATGGGTACCCTGAGGCCTCTGATGACTGAGTTTTTATTTTTGTATTTTTGATACTAATATTCTATTTTGATTAACTTAAAATTAATTTTGTTTGTGCCTTGAGAAAACCATCTGCTTTATTTTCTAGAAACATATTATTGATGGACTAACTCCAGTTCATTCTAGCCATGTCTGGGCCTTTCTGACTCCACATGTTTTTGATTACAGGAAATACAAAGCCAATTCAAACCAGTTTAAACAACAGGGAAATGTTTTCTCTCACAGGAGAGGAAGGTCAGGGTGGTGGTCAGGACTGAATGACACAGAGCTCAGAAATGTCATTAGGACACAGTTCTTCTCATTGCCCTGCTTTACCACCTTTGGTGCTGACTTCATCTTGATGTGCACAGCAAGGGAGCTACGGCCATTCTAGTGCTCACAACCAGAGGAAAAAGGGGTCTTCTCTCCAGGGTCTCATTTTTGAGAGTGGGAAAACCAGCCCCCCGATGCCCCCAGCATATTTCCCCTCAGGCAAGATTATGTCACATCCCATTCCTAAACTAGTCACTGGGAAGGAGAACGGGATTACCATGATGAGTTGGCATCAGTTGTTGGGAGGGAATGAATACGGCAGTCAATTGCCTTGACTACTTGTTTCTGCCCTGTTAAAAACTTCCAGAAAGTGTAAAAAGAAACCTGGCTTAATATTAGCAGAATATATGATGCAAAACAAATATAGAACTGTTTTCTTAGAACATAAAAAAAAAATTATTGTGAACTTCTTCCTCCAGAAAACCTTAAGTATTATAAATTTTCTTTGAGATACCTTGGATTTGGTGGTTGGAATCAAGTATAAAGGTGAGGACTTTGTTACTATGTTAACAAAGTAAATTATGAAAGCACACATTCTACTTGCTTTATATTTGTATGCTTATCTTGGGATGGATCCTGGCAACTCTGCCTTTTATAATTTGTTATTCTAATCATAAAATAATTTGGTTAGTAAAGATATTAAAATCTGTGCTGATTGGTGTGCTCTGATTATTGCCAAGTGGTTTATTTCTGTTTACTCCTGTTATCAGTCTGAGTTCAGTTAGGAAAACAGAGCCACTGCAAGTAACACAGGAGGCAGGCTTTACTATAGGACTGTGGGAATTTCCAGGTGTGGAGGACCTAGGGGCGTGAAGTTCTGGAAGGCTTCAACTGGAGACCTGGAGAAGCATTCACTACCTACTTTAGCCTGATGTGTGGACATGAGTGGGAAACCAGGAGCTCACGAAGCGCAGGGAGCTGCACACAGTTAGCCACCCGAGGTGGGACAAAAAGATGAGTTCATGGAGACATTTGTGAGGCTACCAGTCTGTGAAGTGGGATGTGGTGAAGAGATGTGTGAAATTGCTGTGTCTGAGGAAGCTGCCACACCCGATATGAACAATTCCCTAAGTATAATGGCCTCTTCTCTCCTCCCACATCCTAGAATCTCAGGTGAGTTGTTCCCACTGGCAAGCTATGACATGCTAATCCTCTCCTCTCTGCAAAAGAGGAACACAAAGTTCATTGCTTTTCTAACTGAGTCATACTTCATTTAGACATTTGTATAAGTTCACTATTACTACAAGATAAACAACCACAAAATCTAGTGACATACAACAATCAGAATTTGTTTAGGCCACATGTCTGCAGGTCAGTTGGGGATTGGCTTATCTGGCTGGGGCAGATCGGCTCTACCCTCACATCTTTGTGATCAGAGGCTAGTCCAGGCATGCTGTCGTGAGGATGGCAGACGGGAAAAAGAGCAAGCCAAATCAGGCAAACTCTTTCCAAACTCTGGGCACATCACACCCACTAATCCACTGATAAAAACAAGTCACAGAGCAAAGCACAAAGTCAAGGGGCAAGGCGGAGCAGGAATGAATATGTCTGAACAATAATCTAATTTACCACAACCTCTTAGGTACAGTGTCTTCCAGAGTAGACAGAAAGAATAGTCAATCCTATTTTCAACGAGGACAAGACTCAGCACTGGAAAGCTAACCAGTTTCTGGACATTCCTCAAAATGTTCTCTCTTCCAGGTTACCGTTCTTTTTTCCCAGTTACCATGGGTTTATTTTCCCTTTTCCAAAATCACAGGGCTGCTAAAAGCATGACAACTCTACCTCATCCTATCATTCATTCACTCATTTGTTCATGAGCATTGACTAGCCACTATATGCCAAGCACTATGCTGTGGTAGACTGAGAGGTAAGCAGTCCCTTGCCTCAAGGAGCTCACTTTTTATCAAAGGAGACTGTCAGTAAGGAAACAATGATAACACAGCATTTGTGGCAGACAGACTGTAAGGTGGGCCCTCAGGATGCCTCCAGACTGGTGTTCATATCTTTGTGCAATCCTCTACTTTTTGAGTGTGGGTAGAACCTGTGACTTTCTTGGGCCGGCCCGGTGGCGCACTGCTACAGTGCGCCGCTTGGGAAGCGCGGTGGCGC